TAAAATATGGAAAGTAATAGAAGAACAAGTGGGTAGAAAAAGATGCGTCAGTCCTAGTTCCTAACCGATACGGAAGGCTTGTGCATTCTTAAATCTCTTCCACTTTTTTTCTCATAGCAAGTGAACGAGGAAATACTATCGCATGAACCCGCCATTCGACAACTGAGAGAATGCGGAAACGGACTGATGCAAACTTGTAAGGGTAAGCAAACATTCTTTCCCTTTTCCACAGTCGGGTGTTTGGACTCGAGAACTTATTCATGCTATTTTCTTGTGTCCCCCATTTGGTCGACTTACTAAAGAAAAGACCTTCCTTATAAACTCCGTTTTTTTTCTGTTTAATTTACTAAGAAATATTTTAGAAAAAAGGGAACTGGCTTCTATGACCTATTAGATACACTATTACAATTTCCATCTTGGTATTTATATTAGTTTGCTAGGCCCTAATGAATTTCTTTCCTAAATCCATAAAGACTATATTTTTGGGACATTTTACCGTCAAGACAGGGACTTCCAGGAAGGCCTTTTCTGGCTTATTGGCCGTCGTCAGCTGGAGATACCCTACTCCGGTGTTGCAGCTGAAATTGCCGCCACATCCGAGTTTTGAACCCGCGACCCTCTTAGTTTGAGGCCAATGCCCTAACCACTAGGCTACGGGCTTGATCAGTTATAGGGCACACCCGCCCGAGGACATCAAAAGCCAGAGCGGATGTGCCCTGTAACTGATCGGTGTATGCTTATCTTTTACTTATATTTTTGGTAGACCTATGTGCGCGATATTTTGTTTCACCCGTAACGAATGAGCACCCTTTGAATGTCTTCTGGCGATGATGAGGTGTTTGTATTGGCCATCTTACATTTTCGGTTGTTAAAAGAAGTCCGGCTGAGTTGACTAATATGATATACATAAAAGGAAGCAAGCTTGCATTTATTACTTTATTGTATTAGTATATTAAAAATGAAACACGTATCCAACATCGGGTTTAATTCTTGTCATGGGCAGTATGTTCC